TGTGCCCGCGACTTCGTCCACGTAGAAAAGAATAATGAATTTCCAAATTTTCATCTGCTATTTTATTCTTTTACACTAGGTTTAAAAACGACGATACTTCCATACAATATTTAATCTCCCCTTTCAACCCCTTACAACCCTTTATTCGCATTAACAGTAGCCGACGTTCTTTCTCAGGGTCTGGGTTATCTAACCAGATTTATTAATAAATAAAATTGAAATATCTGTTTGCAATTTCAAATTTTTAATGTATATTTAAACGTATATTTAACTTAAGTTATTTAACTTAGTCGTATTTCTTTAATATGAGTAACTTGATTTTCAATTGAACATATTTTACATTTTATTTTCGAAGATTTCTTTGCTATAAATTTTCTTTTTACTTTTTATAGAAATTCTAAAACGAGGGAATGTCATAGGTACCATGCTTTAAATCCGTAAAAATAGTTATATTGTCATTTCAATATAAATACTTACAATCAAAACGATTTCCTACCTCTAGTCTGATTACCATTTCAGCATAGTATTGTAGAATTAATGTCTGTAAAATATTAATAATGAAAAACCACGAATTTTGATAGGGACCAAGGGTGACCTATTAATTATTTATTAATATCGATCTTCTGCGATTTTAGAAATGGCAAACCTTCAAATAACTTGAAAACACAGCATAGCAGCTTCTTATATGTATTATCTTATTATGTTTCGAGTGCGTAGTGGCCCAGTGGTTTACTACCCAAATTCAACGCCGTAGGTCGTCAGTTCAAATTTGGACGACAGCAAAAACCTTGTATGGTAATTTCTGTCTTCCAAATATCTCCCCAGTGATGAAAACACCGATAATGATCAAAATTAAATTGAGGACCTCGGTGTGTAAAGCGGTGCGCTAAAACCTAGAACTGGTTTTACGTTCGATGGCCGCTGGTTCGATTCCACGCGGGGTATAAATATTTTTATTCATGAGTATGATTGTTTAAATCGGTCTGGGTGTTTTCTATGTATAGTATGCATTTACAAAAAAATACATCTTTTTATTTATATCAGTAGTTTAGTACCCATAACCAAGCTGCTTACTTTGGGATTAGATGGCGCTGTGTGAATTGTCCTAAGATATTATTATTAAATGCTATTATTATTATTATTAAAATCAGTCTAATATTTTCCGTATACCTTGAGAAAAGTGGACATTTCAAGTGTGTCATATACCAAAATACTGGCATTTGATAACGCCTGTCTAAAGGTGTTTAATAAATCTTATACAACAGACTTTGCTAATAGCTTATCTTTAGGGAATATTTTCTAAAATCATAGGAGTAATGAGTTAATAGGAGTATGGAATAATAATTTAGTCTGTCTTTATCCTGTCATCTCCCATAGATTTTACAGGACAGACGGATGATAACGGGTTGCAAGCGGAATTGAAAGTAAACGCTATCTCGAATATATAATTTCAAAGGCACGCTGTAAATTTTTTATAGGCACTTGCCTATAACTTTATAGTTTATCATACAATTAAAAATATCTTTATTGCTTGCTATAAATTATAAAATTATTTTGTTTAATTATAAATGCAGGTTTATTATGTCAGCACAATATATTTTTAGGTCTTTATATGTATATTTAGTCTTCAATTAGCTGCTCATTATAATGATGCAACTACACATTTATGTGGTGAGATTTTTTTGTATTAAATTGTCGATTTTTTGTATAATAAAGATGGTCAGAGAGCGAGTCTATCGTCGTCTTTTGAATTAATTGGGTTTGTGAAGATCGTTTCCATTATCATACATTGATATATGTATGTATTGTTTAAAAATATAAATTTCTTTAAATTTTAATATTTTCTCTTCAGGTATGCTATTTGCTTGTCTATATAAGTACCGTCGAGTCTCGTTTGTTAACAATAAAAACATCAAAAGTAGTACTGAAAGAAGCAACTCCATCGATCCCTGAAGACATGTTAAAAAAGGTCCTACCCGGTTGGAAGGTACCTAACAATGAATTCTGTCGCACGCAAACACTAGCACCTGGAGACCACTACATGGTACTACCATGGTGGTACCATTACTGTCGAGAATTAAGTGAGAATAATATGAAGAAATATTTGGAGAGATCATTGAGTTTGCCGCAACACAAAATTATAGTAAACCAAGTGCAACGGTTCAAGAAATATAAAGATTTAGGAGCGCGAAGGAAAGCACAAGCAATGCTATTACAGCGTTTCTGAGAAGATTGCGAGATACAGATTCTTTTTAATGTTACATTGTATATGAATGTGAAACGATAAAAATTGTGATAATATTGTAAACGGTTGACATGTTTAGTTTCATAGATTTTACAGTTTATTACAGATAGGTACATACTCCCTTTTGTTCTCCAGTTATGTAGTAGAATATAATCTTTATATATAAAAATTGCGTGTCCCGTTGTTTGTCCGCGATGGACTCCTAAACTACTGAACCGATTGCAAATTTTGATTTGAATTGAATTTTGAACATCTCAATTTATAGTCGCGATATTATTTAACCTTAGCCACAGCAATGCGTGGCTGCTAGTATATATTATGCAGAGATAAAAGGTTAATCTTATCCAATGTCCGTTTCTATATATGATTTATTATATATAGAAACGGAAAATATAGGAACGGAAAGTATAAAATGCCACAAGGTTTTAAATCCGCCATGTGCAGCTTTATTTATGGATCTGTGCATTGAAGTTCTAACAAATAAATAAAATACGAAAATAAATCTAGTAAATTTGTTTATTTATTCATGCTCTTTACAGTTTCTTATGATACGTTAAATCTACCGTCGGACCGTCTACCGTCTAGTTTGGAGTGAAAGTTCTAGACCTAAGAAGACCTGACAAGAAAGCTCTTATTCTTTTCAAATGAGTTTGTACATCATACATACATACAGTTTACAAAAAACAGATTCATTTTTAAATTATAGGGATATTATGAAGAATCATATTAGTAGATCATATTAAGGACAAAAGAGTGAGCAATAGAATAGTTCTATATCTACATATATCTATCTATATAGCTATAGAATAGTTAGCAAATAATGGAAAGGATTAAAACTTGTGTAAAATTACATTTGTGATCTTATTTCTGTGATAGAAAACCGAAACTAATCGAGGGTAGGAAGTGGGATCGATATTTGCCGATTTGAAATCGAATATACTAAGCGAAATGTATGTTTCTGATTAATTCACCGGTGATGAAAATATTTATAAAAAACCAATAATCGAAGGAAGGCAATGGTCTCTCTACTTACGGCTTTGGAATCAAAATATATGAAGGGAAATGTATACAAGTTAAATGTTACGTTCACCACATACCACGTGCCTCTAATTACAATATCTTTTTTGCCATTACCTTTTGCGAAGTCGGTTGTCGTCTCCCTACTGGACATTTATAATTCAGTGCATTGTACACAATCATTATTGGATAATGCAAGTGCCACTCGATACAAGCCTGATGTTATTAAAGAGATAAGCTTAATAATAAGTTACTTCATTCATATCGGACTATTTATCTAGATTATGAAAATGTATGAAGGTTTATTATGATATGAATCATATTTTTTATGTTCCTATGCTAATATATAACGGTTTTATTTACATTATTGTAATAAGATATTGATAAATAAAATATATTAATTTAGGAATAGGGCTATTTTAGTAATACACAAATTCTTAATCTATCCAGATTAAGAATTTGTGTCTAAATATATTCAAGACGTTTTTCTGCTCTTAATTATGGTTTACGCAACTATACTTATTTAATACTGACCGAATAAATTTATTATCATATATTGATTGATCCTAAAACAAACAAAAAAACGATTAAGGTGTATGAAACAGTTTTTACAGATTTGATTTGATGTATGTATATCTTGGCGGCGCGGGTGAAATAAATATTGTTTGATTTTGATTTAAGTGGACTGTATCTAAATAATCTGACGGGTACGTGGATTGACACGATACACTGTTAGGTTGGTGATTGAGAACTGCTTGTGAGGATGGAACACAAAGAAAGACAGTTCTGGTAAGGAAGGAGGCACAGTACCTTTGAATTGTAGGTATATCGGTGTCTCCAGGTCCCAGCTACTTGCTTCACAACAATGGCACAAACACAATGGTCTTAAACACACTAGAGCGATGCGGTGGATTAAAATGTTTAGTAATTATCACGAATTACAAAAAAACTTGATCTTAAGCGCGATCAAGGCGGGAATTCAATGTCAACTTCAGCGTTCAATTTAACAGTGACGCGCGAGCGCGATATGTCACTTTCGATACAAGCGAATCTTCTCGCTCGCACTTAAAACAATGGTATGTGCGGGAATAGGAGAGGATAAAGGAATTAGTGTAGTGCCAATCCTTAGAAAATTAACGTTTCGTACCACGCTAAATTATTTATCTGAACAAACTATTACTAATAATAATTATACAATGATAAACAAAAATGTAATGTTATATGGCGCAACCATATCTTTTTGAATTGAATTACATATATCTTTTTGAAACATTAGTTAATATACAGTTCTGTGTTATTATTACTTATATAATTACTTCACAAGGTCAATACTATAATTTTTAATGCCATAAAAAGAGATTTGTATGTCATATAAAAATTCTAACCAACTTTTTAGAGACGGTCTAATGAACCTAAAGCTACCCAACTATCTTTGACGGAAGTCGTAGATAATTTCTCATTAATACTATTTTGGACTTCAATGCTAATGACATCTTTAATAAATAAGATCACTTTTACTTAATTCGTTATAATTGAATAAACAACTTTTTCATTTATTAACCCTTCTGTATCAGTTCTGAGATATTAGTTTCTAATTTGCATATTATTTGTTATCTGTATTAGAAACGGATATGCAGAAATGTGTCATTCCCCTGCAGGAAATTTACAAAACAAAATGTTATGTTTCCATAATCTCACCTCAACTGCGATAAGCGAGAACGTGCTATGATTCCGATTAATGGTTCCATGTAATGTGGATATAATGGAACTGAGAGCAATTGTAAGATTTACTTTTTAAATACGTTACTTGTCTATAATTTATGACTTTGGAAACAAATCAATTAATCCGAGAGAACGCGATAGCAAATGTGGTAATTTCATAGGTTTTTAATTAATGATAATGGAATGGTGTGCCCACCTGCGTTAACGGTTTACACTGGTGGGGCACAAGTCGAGGATGGTAAGACGAACACAAAGTCAGATCAGTTAGCCCATAGTGACAAATTCGCAAGGAATTTACGCGTGGAGGTCAAACCGACAAGGTACTTTGCTAGCAATGGGGTCATCAGTCTACATCTATAATCCCCTTCCCCCAACCTCACATGTTGCGTTTACCACGACAGGACGTCCAACGTTGAGAATACCACCACAGTGATTCCTATTTTGTAAATAAATTACCACATCTGGGATTATAGTAGTGACAAATGTAATAATTTTTTTGGACTTCCTTTGGAAACTCAGACTCCCTACTATAGGAGCTTTTTCAACCCATGCTCACCTGTGGTCATGAGTGGATAATGATGTTTTGTTTCTCATTTCAGTTATTAATCGCATTACACTTACGCGCTGTCTTATCAAAGAAATACATTTCTTCCTCCGACGAGAGCATTGAAAATCTAATCTATTACAAGGATTGCAATCATAAACACGCGACTGTCCCTCCTCCAATTGCTAGAGCGGAAGTGCGTCCACCACCTCCTCAGCCTGAATGCCCCTTCCCTAAAATGTGCTGCACCATGAGCTGTGGTAACGAATGTGGTAATAATCAACAGCCATTTATGAGCAGACAAATGGAGCCGCTGCAGGATTTAATGCCACCCAAGCAAGCATCGTCTCGTCAACCACATTCGCCAGCGCAACCTCAAGTCCAAAGGCCTAGAAAGAAAAAAGGGAAGCAGCAACTGAAAATGCAACCGCCAATAGGAGGGAGAAGAGAGTTTGGGTTTACAAAAGAACGTATTAAGAGTTTGATCGCTCAAGACGATGATATACGGAAGATCTTGAAGGACCTGGTAAGGGTTACAATGCAAAAAGTGGATTTGTTAGAGATGATCAACGCTAGAAGAAATGGCAATGTTAATATTGAAACAACAAACAATAGTGATGAAGATTATGATGATTAGACTATTGTAAAATGAATTTGTTTTCTTAATACTGAATAAATCACACAGCGCCAGCAACTATGTACTGTAGAAACTAACTGTGAGACAAACTTAAATATATATTTTTGGTAAATACATACCTATTTACATAATGAGCATACTAAATCTTCCAGACTGTCATAATCATAAATAGAAATGCATTTTAGGAGTATGGTACACTAAAGTTTTTTCTATTTATGTAAATTGGTAAACAAGCTGATATCTTATACATACGAAATAACCTAACTATATCTTTCTGCTATTTCTCATTCTTCAATCTTACAAAACTCTGAACTAAGTCTAACTTAGTGCAGTGCTAAACTACTGTGATATAACATTTTTTATTTATAAGAGGTAGTACATTCTATATAATGAATTTCGAAATTACTAATAACTTAAATAATATAACATTTTATAAGAACGCAAAAACACTTTCTAAAAATGTTGGAGTGTAAAAAAGGAGCTTATTTAAAGGAAATGTTCATGCTAATACAGAAATTTAAAGATACTTTTCAACTTGGTAACTTGAACAATGTCGTTGTAGACAATAATGGTTTTGGAGGGAATTTTGTAGCGGGACTTATTTGACAATTATCATGTATTAAACGGGTGTCGGTCGGTCCCTTAGGATTGTGAATATTAACAGCGCAATGCAAATTTCTCTAGAAACTGCATAATATTGAAGGAGTTTATTTAAACGGGAGCGAATTAGTGGTTCTTTCACACTTAGTTCTGATGCGAGACTGATATTAATCTACTGTTTAATAAACCTAATAAATAATATATACTCCTATAACAATTGTTGTAAACTCTGCACATTTTTATATGTTTATTTTTCTATAAATTTTAAATGTATTTTCTTTATAGAATTGCCATATATTTTTATTGACACCTTTTTGTCTTACAACCGTTTGTACACGTATCTTCATTATAAGTATTTACCATTTTCTATACATTGTTTGATTTATATCACACATACAGTCCACTTATTCTATCGCCCATATTTTGGTCCATCTTCGCTAAAAAACCAACCAACATTTATGTACATGTTACAATAATAAATAATATATATAAAACTCTTGTTTATTTATTACAAAAATTATAAAAATAAATAACAAATATAAATAAATATCTTAAACATATAAACAACTTAAACGCTCTAAAATTATAACATACAGAAAACACCCCGTTGAGATTCTTGCCAGTTCTTCTCTAGCTAGATTCTTCTCTGAAGTAGCTAGCCGAACTGGAAGGGATAGTGATAAAAATATCACGTCCAGAGGCCGAAAACCCCTACATAAAAAAACGATTCTGAGTTTGAATTGCAATTATAATATTACAGTTGTATCATTAATTAATTAATACGAGGTCATATAAAGGGTCCTTTTTTTGGGATTTTCAATTCTAACTCACAGTAGAGTTTAAATTCCCAAAACAAGATAAAACCTTAACCAAGTAAGTGATAATGACGTATTTATTTGACATAGATTCAAATGATAATAATGAAATACTAATAAATATACATAGATCATAAAGTATTGAGGAAAATGAAATTATACAAAGAATCGTAGAATAAATGGAAAAGCAATATGCGTTCATTCAGTATTTTGTATTTTGCTGTGAAACGTGCTTTGGAGAGGTTCTGAACTGTATCTGAAAAAAATAGGTCAAATTTATGCACTTTATATAAAGGGGTTCCATGCTCATTTTGGTTTCTAATATTTCTAATATTATCTATCTATAAATATTATCTTGATTATGTATTTACGACAGGCATAGTGTAATTTTCTAGTACCTACTAATACGGTGTATGTTTTGAAAAATATCTAGTTTTATCCTCTACTCTATTTATAATAATTATTACTAAATATTCAAAGAAATATAAAAAGAGGTTACAGCATATATTTTTTTATGTCTGCATCACTTTTATTGTATGCCAGTTATAATTCTTCGAAATTTTGAAAATTGTTATTATTTGAAGAAAATGTAATTATTAATTATTCACGGCAGCTTGGCCCGATAGTGTTTTTTTTTTGTAATAATATATTTGGTTATCATAATGTTTCGTCATTGTTCTTCAAATTTATATTTCAATTGTAGTTCTCATATTTACAATACGTAAATATAAACATAGGGTAACATTTTCAAAAAGAAACCTAGTCGTAACATAAAACCTACAGTTATTTCGACTGTTTCTTATTAAGTGAAACGTTTTTCTAACATTTAACGAAGGTTCGATTATATAGCTTTTCTCTTGAGTCACGCTAACGGAACATTAGCTGCATTAAAGCGACTTGCACTTGACCGATTTCATATTTTAGACTAACTGGGCACTTTAAAGTTTAGCATGTCTCAAAGCGGATTTCAAATGAAAATAGAAATAATCCTGCAACACACTCCCATGTCCATACCACGTGTATGGCCAGGATTAACGGTTTGTACTGGACTGTTTGAACTAAGTATAAATATATTTCAATACTGAAAAGAGCAAACTTGAGTTTTAGTTATTTATTTGAGGCTATTTGACCCTATTATAAATACCTTATAGACTAACATACATATGAGTTAATATTACAAAATTAAGATATTGAAATTGTCTGTGTGTCATGGCACTGATGATGGTAATCTGCCACGGTTGCGCTGATACCACACCCTTCGACCAGTAGTCTTCCTTCGTAAAGGTGGGCAGCATGTTTGTGGGGACCAGGGCCACAAACGCCTTGAAACTCGCGTTGTGGCTCGACTTCAACATGCGCGATTCTTAATATCAGGTTACACTAAGATTTTTTTTATAGGATGCCCTATCCTTTGATATAAACGAGCTTGCGGCACACCGGACGGTAAGTGATCGCCGTCGCCCATGAGCACCCGCTACACCAGGGAAATTGCCGGTCTTTTTAGAAGGAATAAGTTCTTTTCTTGAAGGTTTCAATATAATATCTGGGTGGACTATGGAAGACCAAGACTTTGTACGGCGAATTATTAAAAAAATACTTATACATAGAAACTGTCACAAATTATGTGCATGGTGCGGGAATCGACCCAGAGGCAATCTGTAGTCGAAGAAGCGTACTAAAATCTGCCTTAAATATATATATCACTAGCTGTTCCCGCGACTTCGTCCGTGTGGAATTTAACTTTATTTTTCTAAAATAAAAGTAGCCTAAGTTAGTCCTTATTACATCAGCTACCTGCCAAAAAAAGTCCCGTCAAAACCGGACCAGCAATTTCAGAGATTAGCCGGAACAAACAGACCGACAGACAGACAGACAAAAATAATAAAACATAAAAATGTTATTTTGGTATATGTACCGTATATATTCATATGCATGTAGTAAAAAACGGTTATTTCAATATTACAAACAGACACTCAAATTTTATTTATATGTATATATAATAAAAATATGAATGACGGAATATAAATAACATGTTTATTTTTTCTGTAATTATATTATGTAGCGTATTCGTATACTAATATAGTAGCCATCTACATAAATATGAGGTTATGATAATAAACTTATTTGGCGGGAACCAAAGGTTACGTGTGGGCAACAATTTGTTTTGTTGAAACTGTACAGTAAAAAAAAACAAAATTAACTTATTAAATTCATAGTAATTATGCTAGAATTGTGTCATTTATAATATAATATGCTATATATTGTATATATTTATAATTCCCGGCAAACGTTGTTTTGCCATATAAATTAATAACGCTCTAAAAAAATAGGGGTGGACAACCCTTATCACTTAGGTATGAAAAATAGAAAGTAGCCGATTCTCAGACCTACTGAATATGCATATAAAATATATTTCATAAAAGTCCGTCCGTTTCAGAGGATTATGGTAACTAACATTGCGACATGAGAATGTTATATATAAGAATAATTTGTTAATAAATATTTTAAAAGTATTTATATTGATTTTAAGAACATTGGAAACAAATGTTTCTTCACTTGTTGACTAGAGTCTTTTTTATACCATAATGCATTATTGCATTCTATCATGTCATTATGGTAATGACATGATAAAAACTACCATAACCTAAAACATTGTTAGCATATGTGCGCTTTAACTATCCTTAAGAAACTCCCAATGAAATTAAACAATAATTTGTATTTTTCTTATCATTTAAAAAGTGTAAATATTAAGTTTCTTGTCAATTATTCTCGGTACAAAAATACATTTCGAATTAACGAAATCTACGGTAGATTTCGTTACTTCGAAATGTAGTATTTGACTGATCATAAGCGTCTAGTAATAATGTCTATATTCATGTAGGTCACATGAATAAAGATAAATAAATTATTTTTTAGTCTTCAGAAAAAGCCTGAGGCTTCCTCTGAAGACTAAACGTAGTTCAATCCACAACCTGATTGTTATACAACCTACCTACGAGTTAAAAGTGGTTTCATACACTAATGGTACGTGATTTCCAGGGTGCTGTTCATGTCAGTAGGCGACGGTTGTCACCATCAGCATCGGTTGTCTACCGGATTAGCACCGCCTTATTCCGATGTTCGCGGGTTCGATTTCTCGCACGGTACTAACATTTGTATTTATTACAATAATTATTTGTATCTAGTATTTTACTATGTATTTAAGAAATATCTACGTATTTCTAACAATTGACCGATATCTACAAGGACTATTTAGTTTAGTACTAGATGGCGCCGTGTGAATTGTCCTGAGATGTTATTATATTTAACTTGACATTCATGGCATTATACACTTTCTTCCTTGGTCTTATAAACAAAGGGGCTAATGAGGTCACCTAACTTTTACTTTTAAATTTGCTGGTTCGAAACACTTTATTGTACAGTAAAAACTTAGTGTTCATAAGACAGAAAAAAATGAATACGAGAACAAACTTATTCTATAAAGGGATTTGTTTCAGTCAACCTTTGTTATGGCAAGAGAAATTTGTGTCTATGGTGCTATATATTTTTAATATTTTTTAATACGGTGTGTATTGTAAACCTCACTAATTCCAGCCAAGCAGCTTGCTTTATAAGCAGAATGTCGCTTAAAAGGCGGGATAAGGCAGTAAAATTACAGGGTATGAAGCATGACGCTTTTGTCTTCAGGAACGCCTGCTCCTCCTTCAGTAACGCCTGCTCCACTTGCGTTTCTAACGCATGAGTAGACGTTACATGATAACATGTTATCCATATTATTGTTCATATATATATTCAATAAAATTAGACAGCTTCGGTGGTCTAGCGGTCTAGTTTAGTACACCTCCTTACTTCCGGTTTTCGCGGGTTCTATTCCTATCACGGTGCAAATTAAATTCATGAGTATGATTGTTTGTATCAGTCTGGGTATTTTCTATGTTTAATACGTATGCATTTTTATTTTATTTTTAAAATCTATGTATTTGTATCAGTTGTCTAGTACTAATAACACAAGCTCTAGATACCTTAACTTGGTTCTAGATGTCGCGGTGCGAATTGTTCTGAGATTATCATTATATTGCAGTTATGACTTGTCAGCTTGTTTGCACTTTAAAAATCTATTTTTATGTAGAGTAGAGAAGTACAAGTACTTTTCTGGATTAAATAGATATATAAAAGAATTGAAATTTTCTCTAATATCTGCTGTACAGAGAAAATGTATCAACATATGAAAATATTATAATAATATTATATGTTAACACGTTTGTGTACTTCAAAGTCAACCTTTCCTTAATGTTCTGAACACATTAAAACATAAACGTTAATATTATAATTCTCTCACATATACCAAGCTCATTACAATTCAAGAAAATAACAATTTATAGGGAGAAAGGTAATTGTTGGTAATATGGACTGATGACCCCATTGCTAGCAATGGTACATTGTCAGGTTGACTTCCACACGTTTCCCCCTAGAAACCATCATAATTTCGATTGAAAGCATGACATCTTATTCCTCTGGTATAGCAACACATGGATACAGTCATCACATAATTATGTGATACCCATGGTACGGTTCACGTATGTAGGCTATGGTTACCTTTTACTCCAGTCAACTTGTTTGTCCTTAAAATTACATAAAAAGTATGTTATCCGCGCAGTCTCCTACATCTGCGGGTCTCTAGTTTAAAATATGACCAGGATCAGTGAACGTAACGTAACTACATAAATATAAATATGTTATTATTTATCATAAATATAACCTGTCTCATAAATAATAATAATATATGTTACGTTGCAGCGTAATATAATAAAAAAATATCCAAATATATCCTAATCAGTTAGGCTACAACAGTTAGTTGGGTAAAAATTGCTACAAAGCATTTCGAATATAAATCTTATACTTAGGCTGTATATTTATCTTTGTTCTCAAATAGGTAGGTGGTCCCTGAAAAATGTTTCACATAATAAAATAGGAACTTACTCCACTTAAGTTACTGTACTTCTAGTATTCGGCGGGGCACCAGTGGAGGACGATGAGATGAGTATGAAATCAGGTATTTGGTTCAATGTGGAAAATTCACCAGGAATTTGATGATGGTTTCTAGGGGCAACCGCGTAGAGTGACTTCTACCTGACATGGTATATGATATACAATAGTTTTTTAATGTAACTAACTCACTCACTCATATATATATAGAGTGGAGGTACTCCACTCTATATATATCTGCGTCTGCGTTATTATGAGGTAAATCATAATTTATTTTCAGAGGGATTTCAGTGGGAACTGCTTAGAGGTACTTGACCTTATTACTAGTACTACAATGTTATTAAAAGGCGATAGGGATTGTTAGTAATGTAGATTTACGACCCTATAGCATATACCATGTCAATTTGGCCTCCACGCGTTTCCCTCTGGAAACCATCATGATAAATTCCTTGGGAATAAGTCACGATGCGCTAACTGACCTAACCTGATGCTCATTTTATCATCCTTCCGAATGCGATTACACCATTCCGGTATAATCTATAAAATAAATTGTTATCAATAGGCCCGCTAGTTCCCCTTAATAATATCCCTCCCCATGCTTGGGATGCTGTACACGTCTACAGGCAAAGGTTACCACTTCCCATTAAGTGATCGGTAATATTTACCACTCCAGTAACATAAATAGAAAATTATAAATTTTCAGATATCTGTCCGAGTTAGTATGTAAGTTTTGGAATGCCAGAAGCAAGATTTTGTCGGAAGTTCTGCGGTCTGTTATTGGCATTCCATTATCAACCATTAAACTATAAATGTGATAGATATTGGGCCGGGTCATTGGGCTCTGTAAAACATGATTGAATTCAGTAACGACTGGCTGGCTGGCATTTGAGAGTCTTTTCAATGGGTGTTGCTTTTAGGAAGTACTCTATTCTGATGACTATATCTGATTTATTTTGTTACTAAACTAATAATTTATTTATTACTGGCTGTACCCGCGGTTACACTCGAATTAAATTTATAGCCAATATATTACTGCAAAGTTTCATCAAAATCCGTCCATCTATCCATCCATACTTACAAACTTTCGCGTTTATAATATTAGTAAAATAGCGACTTTTGCTCTTTGGCAGTTTGTATTCGTAAAAATTGTAAACTAGGTTTGATCTTTTAGATCTTGTAGGTAGGTAGATTGTAACTGAAAGGTAAGTTTCATGACTTAGAAACTTTTCTTCTTAGCCATGCTATTTAGTTTATTATTGTGAATAAGTGCTATTTGTTTCCTTGTCTGCATTGATCACTATGGCACACTATACTTATTGTTACGAACATAATTAACTATATATTTATTACTAGCTATGTCTTCGGTTACATTCGCCTAAAATTTATAGCCTATGTGTTATTCTGCTCTAAATAACTATATTACTGTAAAGTTACATTAAAATCCGTTCAGTAGTTAAACATTACGATTAAAATTTTTTTTTCACAAGAATTTAGCTTACGTTTCATAAACGCAAAATACTTTTATGGTAGAGTATACTTTTTTATTATCCTCTTCGAATACTACTTACATTTTGAGAGGAACTGGCAAATAAATATATATATAATGTTTTAAAACATGTATATATAAAACGTATGTACATCAAAACAATATTGGTTTCATTGGTTTTGATATTCTTTCTTACTTATGGTTGTGTAATCATAATTACATAGTATAAAAGTCGCAGTCGACAGAGTCTGTCCTTATGTATGCTTAAATCTTTAAAACTACGCAATGCATTTTGAAGCGGTTTTTTAATAGATAGAGTAATTCTAGAGGAAGGTTTATATATATAATACACGTACACCCGTGCGAAGGCAGGACGAGTAGCTAGTAATGTATAAGTACACAAGAATTTTACAACGGTGGCACTATTATTCTACAACAAATACAACTTAAAAACAAATTAAAACTACATAAGTATGCAACGTCAGTCCATACAGATTATTCACTTATCATTCTATGTATGTAGTTGTTGTAGATACTCATACATACGCACATTCTGATGTACCATACGTAATTAAAAAGCATCGAGTGTTGCCACTCAAATAAAGCAGTGAAAACAACTATAATCAACTGATTGCGAACTTAATAACTTCATACAAGTTTGGGTGTGAGTGAGACAGCATGAGGCTGTTTGTACAGCTGTCCCGGTCTAACAGGATTGGAGTTCAAATCTGTGTTGCGAGTGGCCGATGAACGTAGGGCGGGCGGTAGCATAGAGTTACAAATGTATAGAACGGAATCTCATTATTATAGGAATATTTATTATAACTAACATATACTTTTAATAAAAAAAATGTATAAATTACCGAATTAACATTGTATCTATTATATTTTTTTTTGGATGATCTTCGTATTTTTGTCATAATATTTGTGCAAAATTGGCGCTTATGTTTTTTTAATTTCAATCATATTCATTAGACAGTCTAAATATTCATCAAATAACAATATTTAGTATATCAATTTGGAATAGAAATATCTTCATTGAAATAGGTCTGTTCACAGATACCTTCAATATATATCTTTTTTAATGTATAGCTTGGTCTTGAAACCTTATTAAATTGAGAAGAATAACAAGAAAGTAAAAGTCTTACGTTTTTACATAAATTGTTTTGTACGATGAATGTGTATAATATATTATATTTATATTGTATTATAATCGAATTTACAACCATCTAGAAGGTCTGCGACAGCTGTAGGATAGACTTCCAGATCATTATTATAGATATTGTAGGGTGCAAGTTTTATTTTGAATTTTTCTTCTAGTAATTTTTCCCGACCTAGTGGCCTCTAACAATACTTTGTGCACGAAAAGCTGTCATACCACACTGAGTAATAGTTAATTATGCATGCATCTATCTATACAAGTACAATATCATCAAAAATATGCACTTAACGCGCTGACCAATTAAAAAGTGTTCACGTCATAAAACCCACGCATTGCTCCCTCTAATAGCTACCTAGCTCTATGGCGAGCGTTTAAAAGCCTGCGGGTTGGCCGCTTAAGCGCACTCTACACTGAACTCGCCAAGGAACATGTCCTCAGTATAACCCAATAATCCCCGAATAGTTAATCAGACCAACGAATCGTCCAGTATACTCATCAACTAATTGGCGCTCAAAACCCACCGCGAAGACTAGTGTTGCAGGTAAGTTTCGACACTTTCTAGAACTTTCTAAAAAGTTTTTATAACTTTTTGATTTTTTCTTATAGTTGCGTCGTCTTTGCAGAAAACTAAAATTATGATATGGTGGTTAGTAGTCCAAAAATTCGTATGATGATGAAAAAAAAAATCGTATGATGGTGAAAGAAAGGCAAATCATTTTAAGACAAAAACATTTAATTTAATATAAAATAAATAATAAATATTTATATAAAATTTCAAAAAAATTAAGTTATAAGGAGACTTGGAATTAGGGCCGGATAAGTAACAACTGTACAAACAGATTTGAGTTAGAATTTGTATAAAAACTGTATCATTCAATATTAAAGTACATCTGGTCAGTCAAAAAAGTCCTGTTTCTAACAAAAAATATATTAGATAGGTATCTTTTTTTTATTTTATCTTTTTTTACCATGACGATATATTTTACTTGTCATGGCATAATTTAAAGAAATAACTACTTACCAACAGCGTAAGGAGTCGGACATTTATACGAATTATTTAAAATTAACTGATTTACGTTTAAATTTTCTGTCTCGTTGCTTTGCGAGACTATTAAGGTTTACATTGTAGAACAAAAATAGAGTGATCTCTACTGAAATAGCAATATATAATAGTTTATAAGAATATTAAGAACAATAGAGTTTTGCCGCTATGATTACAGAATGTGAAATATTATAAATAAGTCAAGATATCTTGTTGTATTACAATCCGTTTAACTGAATTGTAATGTTTAGTATTTCATTCTTTTTCATTTATAAGGAAGATACATAAAGCGATACTTAATTGTTTATAAAATGTATTTCATTTATCTATATCTCTATTACACATGAGATACTTATAAATTTGATTAAAACAAAAATATTTTTTTTTTGACATCGAACTTTAAAATTTAAACCTTACAGTTAGATATATATTTAACAAAAATATTTTTTTTTTGACATCGAACTTTAAAATTTAAACCTTACAGTTAGGTTTGCAATATATATTTAATTGAAAAGTACAGGTTTCCGTAACAATCCGCGCGAATCCGTGATGGGTGATAAAACTAAGTTATCTATAATTTAATAAATACAAAAACGTTAAATAAAAACTATATCTATAATTTAATAAATAATTAGGTACATTTTGAAAAGTCGCATTAGTTGGGATTGAAATGAATTACATAAAAAATTATTTTATTTAGTATACAAACATGGTAGCTAACTTTTTGCACATTATTATATAATTGTTTCTGTATAAATATTTAACTTTTTTTTTACAGTTTGACAATTGCTGTTATATATGATTGATAAATATCCGTTGTCACATAAATCTTAATTTAATTAACAAGTCGTACCGGATATAAATTATTAAAAGAAAATTTTAGTTCAAAATAATATGAACGTAACTCTACATTATAATTACAATCATTAGGTATATTTTATTTTTGAAAAGTTGTACGTGTGGTATTTTAGGATTATTAGTTAGAATTAAAATGAATTACATAAAAATTAATTTAAATAGGTATACATCAATCAATTGAATCTGTTGCTAACTTTTTCACATTATAATATATTTAATTATTTCTGTATAAATTTTTAACTTTTTTTTTTTGGTATGTAGGTTGTATTGGGGGCGTGGACAGTATTATAATTGCCGTTATATATGATTTTAATTTCTGATACTTTTTACTGTTTTAGTTATCCGTTGTGTCATAAATTTTATGTAGTAATTTTTTTAAACTTAAACATACAATTTCTATGGGATCTTAAACTTACAGTCCACTTATTACATCGTTTAGAGACCTATAATAAATTAGTCATTTTAAAGAATAATTTTAGTTCATAAATAATATGTTTAACGAGCTAACCTAACTACTGATTATAATTACAGATTTACAAACATTTAACCTCGTAAGAAGTAGTAAATAATTTCCAATATTTTTGTACCCTCCTATATCTACATATTTTGACAATTTACCAAAGGCCAAAATCTCGTACAATGGAGTTGTACGAAGAGTAAGATAACCCCATACCGTAGACCACTAATTTGGTACTTGTGTGGTATATTTAGGATATAGAAAAAAAACTTACATAAGTTAATGTTTGAAGTTATATTACATAGGAACTTGAACTATCTACTACTATATAACTACTAATTAATAAGCTACGCGGTGACATTGTAGGCGCAAGGCAAAGTGGAAGTGACCCGGCCTGGCGGCTGTCAATAGTGATGTTCAATAGCGCTCGAACAATGGTTCATATAAAATCTCAACCCATAAATCAATAAAACATAATAAATTGGCTGACTGAGAAGAGTCGGCCAAAAATTCTCTGTACATTGGAAACTACTGATCCAATGTTTGTAACAAATATAATGATAAAGTACATCTATGTCATCATAATGTAATTTATTATAAGTAAAATAATACTTTTTGGTTCGTTAAGTAGTTTATTAGGTATCCATAAGAGATCAAAAGTAAAATCAGAACAATAAAAGTTAAAAAAATAAAATTTTTTGTACACATAAAATATTTGAAAAATAGTTATTTTTTGAACAAGTATTGTACAATGTAAAGTAAAACTTAAAAATAAAAAAAAAATTAGATGTGACAAAGGTCTCAAACACCTTTGTCACATTGAATTTTTATGATTCGTTAAGTATTTTATGAGCATACCATAAGAGACCAAAAGTAAAATCGGTACAATATAGATTAAAAAAATAACTATTTCGTAAATTTTATTCCCTTTGACCGTACGAGATGTAACAAAATGCATCTTTAAAATTGGTATAACGATTATTTAATTAATCGAACCCTAAATAGTTAACATAAACCCGCACAATACTGGTAACCGAAGGAAAATTATTAAATAGCGCCTAAGAGAGAGAACTCGAGATAAATGAGTTCGTTATAGTTTCCGCCCGGAACAAAGCCGCCGGGTATTACAGAATATGGAGCACAGAATCATTTTGATTTACCTAGATTTATGTAATCAAATTAATTATTAGTACAAGATATATCTGGATGCAACTCTTTCTTAAAGTTACAGTAGTTACCTGTAGTATCATTCATTATGTACGAACTAGTTGACCCGCGTGAAATTTATGTCGCCTATGTGTGTGTTATATATCCTATGTGTTATTCTGATGCATAAGCTATAGAGCTATACTGTAAAGTTTCATCGTAATCCGTTCAGTACTTTTTGCGTGAAAGTGTAACAAATATCCATACTCTCAAACTTTCGCGTTTATAATCTTGTTAAAATATTAAGCTGATTAATCTATTTGGATTCCTTTTATGTCTTTGTTGGTTCTTATCATTTATTTTATTAACACTAGTGGTCATCCAATGGACCAAAAGTAATTTAAATTACAAGTTTGAACAATTATTAAAGTTTGATTGTAAAAGACTAATGAGTGTGTCAAATATATGTAAAGTTGAGATAAAAAGATTCTAATCTAACGCTTAAGTTAAAACGGTTTATGTTGTAATATTTATTATTATTAGTAATAGATTGAGATTGTTAGGAAAATCTTATTCGGAAAATATGATTTCTTTATTCAATATACATACGTAGAACTATTTTATACACGCAAAATGAATATGAAAAAATACAAAACCTTATATTGGGAACGCAGTCAATTTTCAACTTAGTTTTCTTCGCTCATACACGAGTTTTATTGTAAGTTATCTTTTTTTCGAAGTTCTAAAAGTATTTCAATATTTTATATACATAAAGAACATATTTGATCTCATAAATGAAGCAAGTTATTGTAGTCATATATTATTTAGTTGCGTGAAACCTGTTGAAATGTGAAATTTATGATTTCCCACATATATGTATGTAGGAATCGTAAATATATAAGCATATCATGTGTATAGGTTGATACTATGGTATATACTATGGAGCTGTTTAATAGATGACTGTACCTTCCAATGGTCGTGGGTTCAATCCCTGTACAGTACAATTATTTTAATATGTGTACAGTCGTGAGGATGACTGTTTATATTAATCTAGTTGATTTTTATGTTTGTCATATACATAATATTAAATATGTATATGATAAAAAAAAATAAGGTTTTTATTATTTCTTTATTATATACAGTACAGATTTTGTTTAGTTTGGAACCGAATACGTAATAATTAAATTATTTATTTCCTTTTTAAGTACTTATTTCTCATTTCTATTCTCATCTTGATCGTTTCCTCAGTACTGAGGATCGCGACTCTACTTGTCAACCAGTTGTATCCATCAGTTGTTCTCAGGTACCTGGTGTAGTGCTTATTTCTCATACAAATTCATTATATGTCTGTCTTTAAAATAGATTGTATTTATTTTTAGATCGGACCAAAACATGGGAAAAGTATGTATCATCTGATGATTCATTTTATAGCAATCCATTGATTAAAATATGAGTTACAAAGACAGAACGCTCGAATACTCGATAGCATTCCAGTTATGTATAATTTAGATTTATTGTTAGCTAAAATTTACTAAAAATCAGGGATTGGTTACCAAAAATTCATATCCTAAAAGCTGACACGCGATCATTAGTGCGACAGTTTTTTTATTTAATTGACACTTTCAATAATTACTCAAATTGCCGCTAGTGTTATTAACAATTTAGCAAACGTATATATAAATTACATGTGGAACTCAAGTGTAATCAGTAGTAAAGATTTATTTTATGTACCTTATATAGATAAATTATAACGTAAAACAAAAACTTTGTACCTACCCCTTTTTACGAATATTGCGCGGAAGAGTATGAAAGTTCACACACTTTTAGTTTATATATTATCTTTATATATATAAATTACGTGTCACGTTGTTTGTCCGCGATGGGCTCCAAACTACTGAAGCGATTGCAAATTGTATTTGCACATTGTGTGCAATTTAATTCAACTTGAAAGATAGGATAGCTTATATCTCAATTTATAGTCGCAATATTATTTTATTCAAGAACCTTAGCCACAGCAACGCCTGGCCGGGTCTGCTAG